CTCACCCTGCCTAAGAAGGTCTGAGGTCCCTCAAGCGCCACAAGGCCATCCACTACTTAATGATAGCCTCCTGAAAGGGACCACACGGCAGAGTGGCCAGGAGAGGCAGGACTCTACCCCTAGAACTCCAGCACCAGCAAAGACTCCATATCTCCCCTGCTGGGCTTCAAGGGACATGCTAATTTGATGTCAGCCATGGCCACAGTTGACCTTCCCTCCTAAGCCTTGGGGATTGTGACACAGCCTTGGAAGAATGAGGAGCCCTCTGCCGGGTGTAGTGGCTCATGCCTATAATCCCAGCACTTTGGAAGGCTGAGGCAGACGGATTGCTTGAGGTCAGGAGTTCGAGACCAGCCTGGTCAATATGGCAAAACCCCGTTTCTACTAAACATACAAAAATTAGCTGGGCCTGGTAGTGGGCGTCTGTAATCTCAGCTACTTGGGAGGCTGAGGCAGGAGAATCACTTGAACCTGGCAGGCGGAGGTCATGGCGAGCCGAGATTGTACCATTGCACTCCAGCCTGGGCAACAGAGTGAGACTCTGTCAAAAAAAAAAAAAAAAAAAAAAAAAAAAAAAAAAGAATGAGGAGTCCTCAAAACTGGCTGAGAAGAAAAGGAATAAAGAACTGACCCATGCTATGACATGTGACCCTTGAAAACATTATGCTCAGTGACAGAAGCCAGTCTCAGGAGACCATGAATTGTACAATTCCATTTATATAAGATGTCCAATATAGGCAAATTCATAGAGACAGAAAGTAGGTTAGTGGTTACTTATAAGTAGTAAATGAAAAATAGTAATACAGAAAAAGGAAAGAAAGTAGATTAGTGGTTGCCAGGGGCCGGGGGTGAGGTGAAATGGAGAGGGGCTGATTGGCGGGCGCAGGATTTCCTTATGGGGTGTGAGCATGTTCTGGAATCAGACAGTGGTGAGGGTTGTGAATATACTAAAAGTCTGAATTGTGGGCTTTAAAATGGTTAAAATAGTGAATTTTATGTTATTTAGATTTTAGTTCAATAAATTTTAAAGAAATCTTTGACGGAATTTTCTTTTCTTTTTTTTCTTTTTTTGACACGGAGTCTCATCCACTCTGTTGCCCAGGCTGGAGTGCAGTGGCAAGATCTCCGCTCACTGCAACCTCTGCCTCCCAGGTTCAAGCAATTCTTCTGCCTCAGACTCCTGAGTAGCTGGGACTACTGGCGTGCGCCACTACACCCAGTTAATTTTTGTATTTTCAGTAGAGATGGGATTTCACCATGTTGGCCAGGCTGGTATCGAACTCCTGGGCTCAAGTGATCCACCTGCCTCAGCCTCCCGAAGTGCTGGGATTACAGGCATGAGCCATTGCACCCAGCCTGGTGGAATTTTCTACCCCCATAATGGGATGGTGACCTGAAGTTACAATTCAGTTGACTTAAAAGAAGGAAAGAATATGTCATTATTTTTTTCAACCTCTGAATTTGTGGGCCAGGAGCCACGCCTATTCCATAACTCTAAGAAAAGGAGATGGAGTCAATATCCTGAGACACAGGGGAAGGCAGGACAGAGCCATTCAGAGATGGGGACATACACTTTGTTAGACAGTAGTAAACAAACAAACAAACAAACAAAAACCCTGCCCAGAAGACCAAGGGAAGACTGGTGCTGGCCAGGCTGCATTTGAAATCTTCCCAGACCTCTACTTAAACTCACTCTAAGTCTGATCAAGTTTCCTGTTGGGCCTCATTGACAGCACGTGGAAGTTCACATGCTGGGGTTCCCTGGGGAATTGTAGGTGTCCACTGTAAGCGTCTATAAATCTGAGGGAGTTTGAAAGCAGACAAGTTACTACTTGCTACACCCTTGTGGGACAAAACTGGGTCCCGAGAGGTAAGCAGTACATCCCCTGCTTGCTCCTGGGAGTTCAGCTGGTGCAGCCTGTCACCCAAGCTCCTCAAGGAGGGCCGTCTTAGAAACTCTACAGTCGCTCAGGGATAGAGGGCAGGTGTTTTTTTTTTTTTTTTTTTTTTCCTGACGGACTCTTGCTCTATCGCCCAGGCTGGAATGCAGTGGCACGATCTCCACTCACTGCAAGCTCTGCCTCCTGGGTTCATACCATTCTCCTGCCTCAGCCTCCCAAGTAGCTGGGACTACAGGCGCCTGCCACTATGTCCAGCTAATTTTTTATATTTTTAGTAGAGACGGAGTTTCACCATGTTAGCCAGGATGGTCTTGATCTCCTGACCTCGTCATCTGCCTGTCTCGGCCTCCCAAAGTGCTGGGATTACAGGCGTGAGCCACCGACCCCAGCCTAGGACAGGGGGTCTTGATGGGTTTTATCTCAATTGTGGTGTTTATTTTCATGAGCACCTTTTTCTTGAGGAAGCAGACCCTTTCACAGCCCTAAGGGTCATTATCTTTTGGGTTCCCCCCAAAACAGACCCTGACACAAGGATTTCAGTGCAAGTAATTTATTTGGGGAGTGATCCCAGAAAGCATCAGGAGGGGAGCAGGGAAGTTGACAAGGGCACGCAGGGACTCTGGGAGGCTTAGATCCTGCTTCCGATAGGTCCTGGATATTGTGATTGACTGGGAAGTTCCTAAGGTCAGCTCCACTGCCAATGCGTTGGTATCACGCCTTTGTTACTCCTTTTTATGTCAATGGTTTATTTCAAGAGTTTCTTTGCTGATCTGCTCCCAAACTGCTTTGTACCTGGTACCAAAGTTAATTTTCCTAAAGCATGGTGTGACCATGACCTTTCTTTGCTCAAACATCTTTGATGCTTCCTTGTGCCTATGTGAAGTCTGAAGCTTTGGGCCTGGTGTTCCAATGGGGCACTGCCCTAGGAATGGGGGATATAGCAGTGCCTCTTCCCTCACGCCACAGCTGGCCATCTGGTTGGGGATCAAGCAATGACAGTAGGATGTGTCAAGTGCTATGGGAAGAGAGGTGGAGAGTGTTCCAAAGGCCCAAAGGACAGGTGCCACAGTCTGGGATCACAGGAGGCTTAGGAGGCAGGGATTGCTGGTCATGCACATTTTCCATTCTCCCCTTCTTCCTGTCAAAATCTCTGCATTATTGAGCGTGGCAATGGCTTTAGCTAATTGCCCCTATACTCCACAGACTTACTTGGGATAGAAGTGGCCAGTGGAAGGTAAGTGGAAATCACTGGGGGTTCCAGAAAAACTCTTTAAAGAAGTCTGATTCAACAAGAGGCATGCCCTTTTCCCCTTGGTTTTTCCTACTTTCTGTAATCTGGTGTGCAGGTGTGATGGCTGGAACCACAATGGCCACAGTGAGACCATGAGGGAATCCTGAAGATGTAGGGTATATACTAAGGATGATGGTGAGCAGAAAGAGAGAAAGAGCTGGGGTCCCTGATGGTCTTGGAGCTCTCAATCCAGCCCTGGGCTGATCACCTCTAGACTTCTTTCAGGTAAAAAACAAAACAAAACAAAACAAAGCAAAACAAAACAAACAAAAAACCCTTCTTTCTAATTAAACTCTTCCTGGGGTTTTCTGTTGTAGTCTGCTGAACCTAATCTGAATGAATGCAGTATCCTAGAGACTGTGCAATCAGAAGCATTAGCAGAAATTTGGTAGACAAACTAGGGTGCATGGGGGCTACAAGGAGGGTTAGAAGGACCAAGGAGGAGATGGGTTCCAGGCAGAGGGAAGAGTGTTCAAAGGCCCAGAGGAAAGAGTCAGAATAGTTGGGTGTGTCTGGGGCTGGCAGAGAAGGGGCCTGGGAGGAGAGGAAGCCTTAGGTAGGAGCAGGACTTCGACCATGAGGGACCTTCAGGCCTTGTAAAAAGATGGCCTTAACCCACAGGTAAAGGGACCCCTGAAGGAGTGGTGAGTTTGCACTTTAGGGAGATGCTGCGGGTGCTGAGTGGGAGGGGCTGGAAAGGAAGGAGCAAGAGTGGAGGCTGGGAGACCGCTTAGAAGGCTGCTGCTGTGGTCGGGCAAGAGAAGGCATTGGCTTGTACTTGGCCAGTGGCTAGAGGGATGGAGTGCAATGGGCAGACTAAGAGTTTAAAACGGGCCGGGCACGGCAGCTCACATCTGCAATCCTAGAACTTTGGGAGACCCAGGTGGGAGGATCGCTTGAGCCTGGGAGGCCGAGGCTGCAGTGAGCCGTGATTTTGACGCTGCACTCCAGCCTGGGCTACAGAGCGAGACCCTGTCTCAAAAAATAAAAATAAAAATATTTAAAAGGCAGAATTCACGAGAGTCAGTGGCCTATTGGATTTGGGGGAGGGAGCAGGAGGAGCTGCGGATGAAGAACTGTAGATTGAGAGAGGAACCAGAGGTGGGACTGAGAATGGTGGAGGGGAAAGAGGATCAGGGCTGGAGGCGTAGGGCCTCAGGCGACGCGAGGTCAGCTGAGGCAAGGGGCCAGTGAAGACTCCGGAGTCAGACACCCGCCAAGCACATACCTGCCTGGCGCCGCCTTCGGAAATGTCCTTGACCTCAAAATTCCACTTCTCGGCCTCACCTGGGGGCGTTGTCAGCTAATATATGTGAAAGTCCCTGGCGCTTAGTAGGTGCTCAGTAAACGTTAACTGAATCTGCAACGTTGCTTCGCTCGCTCCTTTAGACTCTACTCTCTCTGTGTTCATGGTTCGGACGTATCTCTCCTTTATCAAGAGTTTGAGGGTCAAGTTACAGCCCCTACCACTCTCTGCTCTGGCTCCGGGGCAGCCTGGAAGAAAGGCGCTCATCTTCCCTGAGACTCCCTGCACTGTCCCCGTGAACTTTATTCCCATTTTCACAGATGATGAGCAGGCGGCTGGGGAGGTGGAGCTGAGTTAGAACCAGGTCTCCCGGCTCCAAGACTGCGCTCCCAGCTCGGCAGCATCCGGTCGCCAGCTCAGGTGGCGGGGTCGGGGACCCGGCTGTCCCCGCTCCTCCACGCCTCCTCCCTCTCCGCGCCCGCCCCGCCCCGCGCGGGTCCACGGCTCCCGGCTCCCGCGCGCCGCCTCGCGCTCCTCCCCAGCCCGGCTGTGCGTGGAGGCTGCGGCTCCGCGGGGCAGGCGCTGAGCGCACGGCGGCGGCACCCGGCGCAGAGGCTCCGGCGCGGGGAGCCGGGCTCAGCCCCGGCCTGCGTGCGCCGCGGTCCTAGCCCACCCGAGGCCGGCCTGGGGGGCCCGCAGGGCGCGCGGAGCGCCGAGTGCGCATCGGGCTGGGCCCCGCACCCCGGTGCAGGAGCGCGGGCGCGACGCGGCGGAGCGCCCCGCATGGAGCCGGCCCGGGAGCCCCCTGCAAGGGCCCGGCCGCCGCCGCCGGTAGCCGCGCGCCCCGCGCCCGCCCCCACCGCCCCCGCCGCCCCCGCCGCCCCCAGGCCTCGCTCGCCCGCAGAGGCTGAGGCCCGCGGCCCCGAGGGGCTGCTGCGGCGATCCGGGTCGGGCTACGAGGGCAGCACCAGTTGGAAGGCGGCCTTGGAGGGTAAGCGCGGAGCGGCCTCCCTCTCCCGGCCCAGGGACCCCTGCCCAGGCCCGACCCGGGACCCGGAGGCGGTCAGAGTCACCTTGGCCGCTGTCCCAGAGGGGAGCGCTGGGAGCGCGGCGCCGGGACGCGGCGGAGTCATTCATTTCAGGGCGGCCAGACGCCGCTTCATGGGGTGGGGTGGGAGGGAACCGGGGGCCACCGCGAGTCACAGCCTCGACCCCGCCGCTGCTGCGACTCCCTGTCTGACCTTGGAGCGCGCTTCACGCTCTGAGCCTTCGTCTCCTCACGCATGAAGGGGACAGCCACTGCCTGACACCCACCTGAGGGTGGCGGAATCTGTGGCCGTGAACATACTTCAAGTAAAGTAAGAAATCTGGAGACCCCAGAGGTGGTGCACGCCCCTGTGAGAGCCGCGGGGACCCCGTGTTGGTGGGGCATGTGGGGAGGGCAGGGCAGGGGTGGAGAATCCACGAGAGGCTCTTCCTTGCAAGGTCAGGGGTCACACCTACTCCTCCATCAGACTGTCTCAGGGAGGGACCTCTGGCCTGCTGCGGGGGCAGGAACCCAAGTGGAGAATTGATTTCAAGTTCACGAGCTTTTAGGAAACTGGTATTAGCTACCGACAGCGGCGTGTGGTGTGGGAGATGCTGGAGTTGGTGAGAGGGTGGCTGGCCCTTTGGGTGTTTCTCAGGGTGCTCCTGGCACCCTGAATCCAGGGACAAGGAGGACCTGGGCAGCATTAACTAGGGAAGCCCGGAGCCTGGATCGCTCATCCTTATGGAGGCAGTGTCAGAAAAGGAGGGCTTCCTGGAGTAGGTGACCTCTGAGCGGGCGTGGAGACAGAGGGGAAGGTGTTCCAGACCCAGAGCACGATGATTCCGGGCCAGGTGGTCAAAGCTAGTCTATCCTATGTGGAAACTGAGCCCTGGAGTACTGGGATGGGGCAGGGTGGAGAGAGACGGGTCTGAAGGACCCAGACGGTGAAGGGCCAGCCAGGTCTTGCCCAGGAGCTTGGACTTTGCTCTGAAGGGGCTACTGAGGGGTGGAGACAGTGGGTTTGCCTTTGGAAGACTGGTGGTGGCCCAGAGGGGTGGGACTGAGGCTCCAGGTCAGGGAGGGGGTGGGGCAGTGCACCAGGAGGGACATAATCAGCACCCGGGCCAAGACAGGTCATGGGGGCTGCTGAGGGTGGTGAGGTGGGGGTGGTAATACCAGCCTTCTGCACAAAGGCTGTGGGCCAGGGGACGTGCACTGTCCGAGGAAGGGCTGTGCAGACTCTGAAGCTGGACCCCCAGACAGTGGCAGGGACGGAGGAGGCGAAGATGTTGCGTCACTGAGGAGCTGTGGCAGAGCTGTGGGTTGTGAAGAGTTGTGTGGAATGGATGGAGGTGGTGGGACACCTCCCTGTGACGCTGTCTCCGGCTTTACTGTTGGAGTGGCCCTGTGTTCCCACGCTTCCCTCCTGCCAAAGCTATTTCTTGAAGTTGTTCCCTCCTCTTGCCTGTGTTTCTTCATTCATTTATTCATCAGCATTGCTGAAGAGTCTGTCCTAACCTTAACCGAAGCCCCCATGGGAGGGCTGCTTCTGGGCTGCTGTGGCTCTTCAATGCCTCCTGTTTGCTCTTCCTGTCCACCTCCTGCCCTGACTTCTACCCCCTTGGGCTTCCTCCTCTCCACTGTGGCTGGGCTGCCCACCTGCCAGTCAGGCTGCAGAAGAGACCACACACCAAGCTGGAAGGTCACCCAGAGGCTGCCTGGGACCCTGAGTCAAGCCCACTCCCATGCTTAGCATCTTCCTGTGGTCCAGCCTTGCCTCACCATGGCCTCCTGCCTTGCCTTGCTCTCTGACTCATGCCACCTGCAGTCCCCTCCTCCTCCTTTCCCTGGACTCCCCAGGAGCAGTCCCGCTCCTGATGGCCTGTGGTCCTTGGGTGCTCAGCATCTCAGGCCTACTTTCTTTGCCTGCAGGAGTTTTAGGATCTGGAGTCTGAGTCTGACCAGGGGCCTCCCCTCGGCCAGTTCTCTGAAGGTCTCCTTGGGTACCCCCAAGCTCCCCTCTTCTGAGAGGAGCCTGGAAAAGGAGGCTGAGAGGAGACAGAGGGAAAGGTGTCCCAGACCCAGAGCACGACGTGTTCCGGGTCAGGTGGCCAGAGCTAGTCTGTCCCATGTGGGAACTAAGCCCTGGAGTACTGGGGATGGGGCAGGGTGGAGAGAGACAGGTCTGGAGGACCCAGATGGAAGGAGGGGTTCTCTTCTGGAGGACCCAGAAGAGAGGAGCTCGAGCAGCAGAGCTGGTCCTCTGCAGGGTGCTGCTGCAATGGCCCAGTGCTGGCTTTTGCACTGGTCTCCAGCGTGCATTCATTCTTTCTGCAACATCCAGGTACCAGTCTGGGCCCTGGGCACATTTGTGTTCTCTCGGAGGTTCCAAGACAGGGCCTGAGACAGTGTGGGGAGGTGCAGGAAGCAGAGCATCTGGTAAAGCTGGGGCAGAGCCTTCCATTGCCACAGGCTGGTGGGCTTTCCAACTTCTAGGAGTATTTGTTTCCTCATCTGCTAAGTCAGGTCATGATTTCTACCTCTCAGTAGACAGAGGCCCTGTAGTGTGGGCTGTGTGTACGGTGACTCCTCTTCCCGACTGCCTGGACTTGGCCTCCTGCAGCTCTGCCAGGGGAGCCCACACCCAACTGCAACACTTTGACTTCTGGTCAGCCTCCCTTGATTCTGCTTCCCACCCCAAACCTGAGTCCAGAGTTCACGTAATGAAACACTGTCAATGGGAGGAGGGATCTGTCCCTCTGGGGACCCAGGGTTATGCTGCCCCTGCTTAGCCAAGCACCTGTCTTGAGAGAAATGGGACATTTCCTGACTTGACCAAGCTGAACCCTCCCAAGAAGTCTCTGCTGCCTTATCGCCAGGTTTCCAATGCACAGCAAGCACCTGCTACGCGCTGGAGCCGTGCTGGGGCTTTCATGGTCATCATCCCAGTCCTCACCTCTCCCCCTTGCAAGGGACTGGTGAGTGTTCTGTTTCATAGACAAGGGAGCCGAGACTGAGAGCCTGAGTGTCTTGCCCAAGGACATCCCAAAGCCCTGTTGTGAAGGCTCTGACCCCTTCCTGCATGGCCAAGGACATCAGCCTTGGTGAGGCTAGCTGGGGATCATCAGATTCCCACACACAGCCTCTCCTCCCCTGCTCCCCAGACAGCCCTGCCACCTCCAGCATTGACGTTTTTCCCTCCTTATGGGTTAAATGAGTCAGAGAGCTTCTTAAATCAGAAAGCTGGGATTACAGCCCAGGTCTTTCAGACTTTTCTGAGATGCATAACTAGCTTTATAAACAGGAAGCCAAACAGAAGTTGCCTTAATCAAGTATTTTCTCTCACTGTAGGTATGAACCTTCCCTTCCAGCCTGGGGTATGAGGCTAGAAAAGGTGACCCGGAGAGCCCGCCTGGGTTCTGGGAACAGGAGAGGTGATTCGAGATGGGGATATTTCCGGCATTGAGAGTGGCAGTGGGGCGGAGTGGCCTGGGGGTACAGGAGATGGGACAGAGTGAGCCTGCGTGCCTCAGCCTATAGATTTTTCAGTGCTCACCGATTCTGAATTTTTAATGCTGAAAGTTTCTTGATTAGGCAAAAACCCACAACTTCCTGATCAAAACCACACACATGCTTTTAGCCTCTTAAAAATTTAAAAATTACCAAACTTCACATTTGGTAGTTTTTAAGTCAAGATTATGCTTGCCAGGCTGTGTCCCCGATGACTTAGAGACAGCAACGTGGGCCTTTTTTGGGATATGAGTGTGAGGATGATGGGAGCTTTGTCTGGGCCTGGGAGTCAGGTTTTTTCAGTTGTTCTTTCTAATATTAGGCGAAATCACACACAGTTAGAAACCTAAATAAACTGCACCCTTAAACGCCATCTAATATGGGCCATGGCATAGTAGGGAACAAGAAATGAGTTAGACATTTGTTAGAAGTTGAGTTGTGTCCCCACCAAAAAAGAGATGTTGGAGTCTTAACCTCTGGTACCTCTGAATGTGACTGCATATGGAAATACAGTCTGGCAGATTATTTGTAGTAAAGATGAGGTCAGATTGGAGTAGGGTGAGCCCTAATCCCGTATGAACTGGAATTCTTATAGGAAGATGGTCTCATGAAGACAAGGGCACTGTATTAGTCCGTTCTCACACTGCTAATAAAGACATACCCAAGACTGGGTAACTTATAAAGGAAAGAGGTTTAATGGACTTATAGTTCCACATGGCTGGGGAGGCCTCACAGTCATGAAGGAAGGTGAAGGAGGAGCAAAGACACGTCTTACATGGTAGCAGGCAAGAGTGTGTGCAGAGGAACTGCCCTTTATAAAACCATCAGATCTTGTAAGACTTATTCACTATCACAAGAACAGCATGATTTTGGAAAAACCTGCCCCCATGATTCAATTACCTCCCACCCAGACCCTCCCATGACACGTGGGAACTATGGGAACTACAATTCAAGATGAGATCTGGGTGGGGACATAGTCGAACCACATAAGACACACCGAGAGAATACCATGTGATGATAAAGGCAGAGATTGGAGTGATGCGGCTGCAAGCCAAGGAGTGCCAAAGTCCGTCAGCAACCACTGGACACTAGGAAGAGGCAAGGAAGGAGTACCTGCAGAGTCAGAGGAAGCATGGTCCAGTGCAGCATCTAGAGAAATTATCTCTGAGACATAATGAAGAGGCACCTCGGGTCTGGCAGTGTTGGAGATATATGTACCGATCCCTCTTCCCTGTGTGGTCTTTCCTACAAACTCAGTTGAATTTAAGGTCGACCAAGGATGTTGTCATTTGGTGTGACTAAATTTCTTGCATAGTTTTTGAGTCCCAGTGGGTGCTCTGTAACATGCAAGGCAATGACCCAGCCCTATTTCAGGGAATCTGAAGGTGAGTAAAGCACAGTCCTTACCCCAAAGGAGCCTAGGGCTGATGGTCATCATCACACTGATGGCC